GAGTAACAATACATCATGTACCCAAGACCTCACTACAAAACGCAGCCCCATACCTCTAACTTCCACAGCAGGCGTCTACACCATCCCCTGTGGGATCTGTCCCAAGAAATATGTAGGTGAAACAGGCAGAGATCTTGTGGTCCGTCTGAACGAGCATTGAAATGCCAGTAACAGAGACGACTTACGGTACGCCTGTGTCCTCCACATTATCATTATAATTATGGGGAAGCGCTAAACCCGTAGGATTATACAGCGCATGTGGGGGGATGGAAGGTATTCAGATTCAATTCAGGGAACCGGAGCACAGATCCAATTCGCTAGATCAAGAGCCCCTCACCAGCATCAAGGAACTTTCCTTGAGGGGCTGTGTCCTCCACAGACTCAATGGGGCATCTGATGAACTGGGATGAAGCACAACTCGTTCTGTGATGAATGGTTTGAAAAACCGTTCTCTACAACTCGTTCTCACCGAACAAGACCTCAGACGCATGATACTCAAGCAAGCAAAGCACCACCTACCCAGCAACACAGGAATCACATGATCTTATCATCTACCCGTCCTCATCCCAATATATCATTCTTCAGCTCATCATGCGTCACTCACGCCTCACTCTCCGCCTATATATACTGTCTTTCTAGACCCGTGCCAGGACTCCGGTCTTGGCGAACATTATACATACATATGTTATAAGTGATCAAGGTCCCAGGACCGAAACGTTTCCTAATAAATAAGTCCTAGTGTTTGACTCACGAAATCGTAATGACACGATTGCAAACAAACCATACCACGGGCGGGATTTGAACCCGCGGTCTGGAGTTTTGAGACTCTCTGACCGCGGGTTCAAATCCCGCCCGTGGTATGGTTTGTCCAAGTGTTTGCTTACGTGTTTTTCCAAAATGATTATTACAAACATAAATTTAGTTTTAACATGGTTTTGAGAGAACTTACAATTATATTTGAGCACACACATATACAGTACATTGTGTAAAGTTAACTTAGGATATTATTGTTCAGAATTGTTTACTTTTTCCAAGTTGTTAATTGTTAACCTAACCCAACCTAACGTAATTTAACCTTACTCCGCCATTAGTACTGGTGCGTCTTTATTTACATTCTTCCAGGCGCGTGACACCACTCAATACTAAGTATTGACTGGCTCACACGTATTGTGCAGTTGAAATATATATATTATTTTCGTTAAATATATATCCCAAAATAGTTCCCACAGGAAATAGTTACTTATTTCGTGTTATACATAGTTTCTATGTATTTTACAAACTATTGTTCAAGTTTCGCCGAGCAACAGTAAACATTCCCATTACTACGATGGTAGAGTAAGGTTAAGTTGGGTTATTTTATGTACAATGAGGAAATGGTATGGTGATACCGACAAGATGTGGAAAAAGACAGTTACGTACAGTTCAGGACATTTATTCAAGGAAACGTTTCGCCATGAGTGACTTCTTCAGTCCTAATAGAGAGATAACTAAGAAAATGAGTATATATAATGGAGTATAGATAGTGGCAGGTTGCGTGGGTAGCAGCAGCAGCAGCAGCAGCAGCAGCAGCAGCAGCAGCAGCGGCAGCGGCAGCGGCAGCGGCAGCGGCAGCGGCAGCAGCAGCAGCAGCAGCAGCAGCAGCAGCAGCAGCGGCAGCAGCGGCGGCGGCGGCGGCAGCGGCAGCGGCAGCGGCAGCAGCAGCAGCAGCAGCAGCAGATGGATTACCTGAGAACAGAAATGTCAGAGGGGAACCTCATAGGTATGGTAACCTTAGACCTGCAAAAGGCCTTCGACACTGTCAACCACAATATATTATGTAAGAAACTTCAAGCTATCGGTATAGGTTCTGTAGACTGGTTTAAGTCCTACCTTAGCAACAGGAGACAAATAGTCAAAATCAACAAAACGGAATCAGAACCCCTGCCGATAACATGTGGAGTTCCCCAAGGTAGTATTCTGGGTCCCTTATTATTCTTATGTTATGTCAATGATATGCCTATCAGTGTCAAGTGCATTATATAATCAAGGGGAAGCGCTAAACCCGGAGGATTATACAGCGCCTGGGGGGGGATGTGGAAGGCATTCAGGCTTAATTCGGGGAACTGGAGCACAGATCCAATTCCCTAAATCAAGAGCCCCTCACCAACATCAAGGAACCTTCCTTGAGGGGAGTGTCAAGTGCAAACTCCTACTGTATGCAGATGACAGTGCTCTGTTAGTGTCAGGTCAAGACCCACAAGATATTGCTCATGTTTTAACACTGGAACTGGAGTCCTGCAGCAAATGGTTAGTAGACAACAAACTATCATTACACCTAGGGAAAACTGAAGCCATTCTCTTTGGCACGAAACATAAACTGAGAAGGGTAAATAATTTTAATGTTCAATGTAATGGGGAGTCCATCACTTTGGTTTCATCAGTAAAATATCTGGGAATCCCCTTTGACCCATGCATGTCAGGAGAATTGATAGGGAACAGTGTAGTAAAGAAAGCGAATGCCAAACTGAAGACAAGCACAGTGTCTACCTACTGAGGCTCGCAGGACCCTATATCTAGCCCTTGTACAATGCCATATGGATTACGCTTGCTCTTCATGGTACTCTGCCTTGACAAAAAAACTGAAAGATAGACTGCAAATCACCCAGAACAAAATCGTAAGATTCATCCTGGGGCTGGGACCAAGAGAACATGTAGGCCAGGATGAATTACAGCAGTTGGATATGCTGAATGTTGAAGACAGAGTAAAACAAATGAAGCTAAATCATGTTTATAAAATTGCTCAGTGTCCAGAATATCTTGCTGTCAATTTTGTCAAGGTTGGGAACCAAAGCAATCATAGTACCAGGGGGAGAGAGCACAACTTCGTAGTACCCACAGTCAGTGGCCAGGCGTCAAACACCTTTTATTGTACAGCAATAAAGGAATGGAACAGACTACCCGCACATGTCAAAGCCAGTCATAGCATGAACCAGTTCAAGAAGAGTGCCAAAAGGTGTCTGATGAATGTAGCTACAGAAAGGGAGGGGAATGATTTTCTATTTTTTAGCTAACATACGTGTAAATTTTACCATATTCCTAGTAATGACCCTCGTATTGTAGATAGTCTTAATGACCTTGGTGTAGTAGTCTTTTCAGTATGATAATAAGGTATCTTCATTGTAGAATAATAAGAAAATATTATAACCTTTATATTATAATAATAAGGTAAAAGGATCCCAATGGAAATAAGTCACTCTGTCTGACTTTTTTTGGGTTATCCTAGGTTCTCTACACATATGCTGCTATGTATGATAATTCTATGTAACTGTATTTGTGTATACCTGAATAAACTTACTTACTTACCAGCAGCAGCAGCAGCAACAGCAGCCGCAGCCGCCGCCGCCGCCGCCGCACCCGCCGCCGCTGCACCCGCCGCCGCTGCACCCGCCGCCGCCGCACCCGCCGCCGCCGCACCCGCCGCCGTCGCACCCGCCGCCGCCGCCGCCGCCGCCGCCGCCGCTGCCGCTGCTGCTGGAAGGACTGAACTATATATACATAAGGGTCTCTTCCACAAGTCAATATCACTGTACCATTTCTCAGGATATTTTAGGCTGTGTTAGGTGTATTTCGTTAGGTTAAGTTACATTTTTTTAACCAATTGTACAACAAACTAATATTTCAACTGTAAAACCAACTTAACATTATAATATTTAAACTATAATTAGTGGCAGAAATTCACTGAATCATTAATAGTTATAATCATAACCATAATTTTTTTAAGGGATGAAGGGGTAAGCCAGCTGAAGGCCTATGTCAGATGACCAAAAGCTCCAGCTGTGGGTCATCATATGACTAAGACCCGCATCAGGAACCACTTGTCCTGTTTCATGACAAACTATACCTAACATAACCTTACCTAACCTTACCTAACCTAACCTAACCTAACCTAACCTTACCTAACCTAACCTAACTTTACCTAACCTACCCTTACCTAACCTAACCTTACCTAACCTAACCTTACCTAACCTAACCTTACCTAACCTAACCTAACCTAACCTAACCTTACCTAACCTAACCTAACCTTACCTAACCTACCCTTACCTAACCTACCCTTACCTAACCTAACCTTACCTAACCTAACCTTACCTAACCTAACCTAACCTTACCTAACCTAACCTAACCTAACCTTACCTAACCTAACCTAACCTTACCTAACCTAACCTAACCTTACCTAACCTTACCTAACCTAACCTAACCTAACCTTACCTAACCTAACCTAACCTAACCTTACCTAACCTTACCTAACCTAACCTAACCTTACCTAACCTAACCTTACCTAACCTAACCTAACCTTACCTAACCTAACCCAACCTTACCTAACCTAAGCTTACCTAACCTAACCTTTCCTAACCTAACCTTACCTTAACCTTACCTAACCTTACCTAACCTAACCTAACCTAACCTAACCTTACCTAACCTAACTTTACCTTACCTAACCGAAATCCACCGACGAGCAGTCGTGTACTGTGTACCCAAACTTCTGTCTTGAAAACGAAAAAGCTAGAAAATTTAATTAGGTACAGGTATACATAAGTACAATTATCATACATAGTAATATATATATTAATTACCTAGGATACTCAAAAAAAGGTCAGTGTGATGTATTTCCATTGGAATCCTTGTACTATATCTTTTTATTCAACATATTCAAGGGGACCCCAATGTAAATCACTTTGTCTTTTTTTGGGTTATCCTAAGTAATTTACACATACATTACTATGTATGATAAGATAAAGATAAGATAAAGATAAAGGTTTATTTCTTTGTAAATGTTACGTGTACTTACAGTTTAGGTTAGCTAAGTACAAAGAAAGCCGCTATCATGCCAGGGCATTTCGGGCAGATAAGTGTACTTATGTGGACCCTTACCAAAATAAACTTACCCAGGGGAATCGGTAAACCCGTAGGGATGACTCAGCTCCTGGGGCAAGGGAGGTTAGGTTAGTGAAGGTACACTTATACATATGTCTGGGTGTTCCGTCTTAGCAAGGTGGGGTGGGGCCCAGTTATTGGCATTTCTTCCCCAGACCTGTCAATGGTGTCCCCGGCTCCGGTTACTACCCCCAGGCGGCCATGGACCGCCCTTATTAACATTATTGAGACATCTTTACTGTGGCCGCCGGTCCTACTGTATAACTGGTTCAGTGCAGTGTGATCCCCTCCTCCTGTCTCCTCTGCTGGTCCAGGACCGCTACTGCTACTGTACCATGGCGACCTTCACGGACAAGGACAAGTACACACCGCCTGCTGACTTACCCACCAAGGTAACTCTGCCATTTACAAATGCTCTGACTCAGCGGTCGTAGCGTTTAGCTCACAACGGACAGGTGAAGGGTTCAAGTCCCGGGCAAGGTGTTAGGTGCTACGGACGGACATGTTTCCATACATCTGCTGCCTTTGTTCACCAAACAGTAACTAGGTACCCAGGTTTTAGCCACTGTACCTGCTGCCCTGGTCCACCTAGCAATAATTAGGTACCCAGGTGTTAGTCACTGTATCTGCTGCCCTGGTCCACCTACCAGTAATTAGGTACCCAGGTGTTAGTCACTAAACCTGCTGCCCTGGTTCACCTAGCAGTAACTAGGTACCCAGGTTTTAGTCACTGTACACCTGCTGCCCTGGTTCACCTAGCAGTAATTAGGTACCCACATGTTAGTCACCGTACACCAGCTACCTTGGTTCATTTAAGAGTAACTAGGTACCCAGGTGTTAAGTCACTGTACACCTGCTGCCCTGGTTCACCTAACGATAATCAGGTACCCAGGTTTTAGTCACCTTATACCTGCTGCCCTGGTGCACCTAGCAGTAACTAGGTCCCCAGGTGTTAGTCACCATACACCTGCTACTTTGGTTCATTTAGCAGTAAGTAGGTACCCAGGTGTTTGTCACTTGTATCGAGTGGCATCCTCGGCCTGACATTATCACTCCGAGGTCCTTCACACTAGTTTTCTGCTATTATGTGGTCAGAATTTGTTTTATGCTCCAATTCAGTTTTAATTTCTTTGAGTTTTCCATATCGCAGTAATTGAAATTTGTCTTCATTTGGCTGAAGCTCTCTTCAGCAAATTAAAAAGTGTACAAGAGATGAAGCATAGGTAAGTACTTAGTATATTCAGAGTCAGATCGCATGACCCAAGCCAGGGGTAAGATCAAGTGGTTTAAAAGTATGTAATAGTTATAACATATGCTTTCCGCTGTCTTTGCGAGATGTTAAAAGTGGAATCATAGCAGATGCAAGGATTTTGTGCATATACTCTGTATAATTTGTTCCACTGTATAATGCAAGGAGCTTCCTAGTTAATGTTATAGCTATGAGGAACTCAATTATGCATACTCATCACTTCGGTGTTTAGATATTCTAGTGATTAAATATCTATCTGTTTGTCCTATCTTACTTTGTAAATGGTTCAAGTTGGACTGAAACATCGTCATAAGCTTCTCTCTCCTATGTGCTGGTTATTTGTGTAAGGGTGATTTCTTTTTTAAACCACTAGATAAAGCATCTATGTAACAGTGAGTTTAAAGATTAATTTAGAAATTATAATTGCTTTGTATCAATGGAACTGATTAACAAAATTTCATCTTGAAAAATGGTTTGCCTATACAGTGGACCCCCGGTTAACGAACTTTTTTCATTCCAGTAGTATGTTCAGGTGCCAGTACTGACCGAATTTTTTCCCATAAGGAATATTGTGAAGTAGATTAGTCCATTTCAGACCCCCAAACATACACGTACAAACGCACTTACATAAATACACTTACATAATTGGTCGCATTTGGAGGTGATCGTTAAGCGGGGGTCCACTGTATTTTAGTTTCCTGTTTTTGTGAAATTATTAAGATGTTAATTTGCATTTTTTTATCAGTACGCACCAGATGAAGTCCACCGCTACATGGTAGACTGCATGCTGGCTGTTGGTACTCCAAGGCCTCAAGCCACAGATCTTGCAGATGTACTGGTAGCTGCCGATACTCGAGGTCACTACAGTCATGGCCTCAACAGGCTAGGTGAGGGTGGGTGGGGGTTGTACTCTTATTTTTAAATATTTTTTTAAAAAATTCCAGCATGTTTTCACCTAAATGAAGTTTATATATTGCACTCTCCAAGTTCATTGCACAAAAATTTCTTGCTAAAACATGCTTACCCAGGTAAAAATAAGATGTACTGTACTGTACAGTCATGCATTGCTTAAAAATGGGTATACATTCTGAGAAATGCGCCGTTCGGCGATTTCGTTGTTGTGCAAATGTCAGAGTGCACTTACACAAATGTAGATGGTATATCTTATTACACATCTAGGCTATATGGTTTGTTTGTTTTTTTCATCATACATTTGTTGTAAACAGATAATGCACCATGAACATTCCTCTTTATTAATGAAAACCTTTCAGTGCTGGGGTCCATGTTTTCAGAGTTTTTAAGGAGCTTGCTAAGGTGTGCAGAAGCTTCTTCTAAACCCTTCACTGTGAATTTTCTTTGGGGTTCTTTTTCTTCTCCTGCAAGGGCCATGATGAACAAAACAACACGAGATCAAATCAAGCACAAGGGAAAATGGTGTTATCAAAAGATGCAGTAAACATGAGATGTATGAGGCTGCTGCTGGCATGACATAGCATACTCTTTTACAGTAAACTTTTTTATAAGTAGAAAAAATATTCTCTAAAATAACAGTAAAGAGTACAGTATAGTAACTATATAAACCAGTAACAAAGTTGTTTATTATCGTTATCATGTGCTATGTACTGTACATAATTGTATGTGCTATACTTTTATATGACTGGCAGTACAGTAGGTTTGTTTGCACCCCTGTTATACATGTGAAATGTTATGTGGCGCATGACTGCATTTGAATTATGTGCTCTGGCAATTTGGGAGCTATTCCTGACCACCCGTGTCTCAGGCATTGTGGTTACTAAGCTTTTAGGACTTCAACACTTCTTCCTTTCTCATCATTGCTCATTGACCATAGCATTCAGGATGATTGCTACCAATACAGGTTTCCCCCTTGCCTTAAGCAGGTTCTTTGCATGCAGTGCTATATGTCACACTCATACAGAAACATTAGCATCACCATGTCTGAAACCAGGCCACAGGGGCAGTGATACCCAGAACCTCCAGGATTTGTCATCTGATATACCACTATACCTGCATACACTTTTTCCATTTTACATCCATTTCCACAGATTCCTAAGTACTCCTGGTACATTCCTGCCTCTATTCTGTGATTCATTTCATTCTCAATAAGCACATCTGCTAACACATCCACTGCTACTTATTTAAATAAATTTGCTCCCTCCCTGCCTTCCTTCTAATCAGACTTAGTCTTTCATTTGTGTACAGTTCTTATTCTCATAAATTTGCTCTTTTCTGTGTTTACCTTGAAACTTCTTCTTTTACAGACTCTTCCAACCTCTTGCAACAACTTCTGTCAATCATTATGATTGTAACCAGATATAAACATGTAAATAGTTCATTACCACTATAATTCACTTAGCTATCAAAACTTTGCAGCCCAGTCCCTGGAGCCATTATGTGCCTCTGTAAACTTTTGACTACCACCCACACCATGGGTATGGGGTGCATAAAAAAGATATTAAACTAAACTAAATAACTTCTTTTCTGAAACTTCTAGTAGTACTGTCATTGGCAAACAATTTTGGAAACCTCTATGTTTTAACAGATGCATTATTGTTAAAAAACACACTTCACCCTAAACTTAAGCATTTCCTTCTTTTTCAACATTATCTATAACACATTTAACAATAATCTCCTTCTCTTGTATAAATTGCTAAATGTAAAAGGAAAACATTTGCTTTTCTTTTTAGGTCATCCTGCCTAGGTGGGAGACGGCTGGTGTTGAAAAAAAAAAATTAACAATAATGGCGATAATGCACAATCTTGTCTGAAGCGCACTTAATGTAATCAAGACAGCAGTACATAATATTAAACAAAACCAGTTTTCATCCAATTTTGTCCCTGTTCTTCCATCTTCCAGCCTTCCTTCAGCTCCCATATATAACTGGCAACATATCTTGCCCATTTCATTTAGTATATTGTAATCTAAGTAACATGCTGTATCTTCACCATCTTCTATTCAAACACTCCACAAAACTAAAGATTATTGAATTAGTTTAAATAATGTGTAATTCTTTCGTAACTGACCTCTTGTCATTAACTATCTTATTGTACTTATAACTGTAGTTAACTGCATAAGAAGTTTTATTTAATAGGCTATGTCTAGTTCTTAAGTAACATGAAAGCTTTATGATTAGCTGCCCACAATGCATTGCATAATTAATACTTTCTTTTGTGCCTACTATTGTATTAATACATTTAAACTACATTATTTGTCACACATGAAGAAATAAGCATTATTATTATTTACTGGAAAAATCCTCTTCATTTCTGCACATAAGAATTCGAGCCTCACAAATCATAAACCATCTTTACCATTTTCAACCACTTAAAACATATTCCATACATTTGCAACACTAGCCACATTCCTCACTTCTCAGCCCTGTCATATGCTTTTTTTTTAAATCTACTTAAATAAGCTTGTACATTTTTATTCTGCTTTTATTTTAGAGATGTATGTGAATGATGTGAAACAGAAGGTTTGTGATGGAAGTGCTTTTCCCACCATTATAAAGGAAAGTGTATCTACAGCTCTTGTTAATGGCAACAATGGCCTTGGCCCCGTTGTTGGCAACTTCTGCATCAACCTGGCTATTAAAAAAGCTAAGGAAACAGGCATTGGCTGGGTCTGTGCAAGAGGTGAGTTTTCACATAATATATGGCAAGGATCTTGTAAAGCTAGCTAAATATATTGTCTCTGTTTTTATTATTCCAACTCATTATACACAAACTAAGCCTCATTTTAGCAGTCAAAAGAAACATTATTTTTTAAATACATTGATTGGTTCTTACAAAGGGAGGTGATATGATTGTCACTGTAAACTAAATTGCTCAATAGAGTATTATTACTATTTTTTATTTTTTTTTCATGGATTGTTTAAAAATTATCAACAGCCTAACTGATGATCATAAACTGGGTTGTGATTTGCAGATGGAGGATTGAGCCTCCACCACTTTGTGATCAATGGTCCACACAGTTATAGTATTTCACATAAATCATTATCATAATAATAATAATAACATAAAAATTAATGATGAGCTCTTCTACTCTAGCTACACTTAATGAAAGTTCTGTACTATAGCACCTTGTATGATGAAAAATGGATTATGATAATTGTGTGAATATAAATAAATCATATTATGGAAGTATTGCAAGGTACAGAAAAGGGAAATTGTTTATATATTTACATTGTTCCTCTACATCACTAATAAGTACTGCTTATTTTTCTTTTACAAATGAATATAAATAAACAAGTAGAAAATCCAAAGATAAAGTACTAGTATGGCTTATGCACCAGGGTTTTTGACGTACTAGTATGCCTAAATTCTAGTGCCTTCAAATCTAGAGAGAAAACTGGTAGGCCTACATATGAAAGAATGGGTCTATGTAGTCAGTGTGCACAATATAAAAAAAATCCTGCAGCACACAGTGCATAATAAGAAAAAAATGCCAACCGTTTTTTTGGTTTAAAACAGCGACTTTGCAGTGTATTTTCGTATGGTATTTATGGTTGAATTCTAGTTTTCCTGGTCTCATTTTATAGAATGGAAGACATATTACAGAAATTGAGATGATTTTCATTGGTTTCATAATGAAAAGTACCTTGAAATTGAGCTCAAAGAAGCAGAAATGTTCGATTTTTACCAAAGTTCAAAAGTAAACAAATCACGCCAAGCGTCCAATACACGTCAACTGGCGAGTCTAATATTCTTTCACAAGTGCACTGATATTATTTATGCCATATCTACACTAATGCAGTAGTCTGCATAACAGTAAATCTTCTATTTTTTGTGAGAATAAAAATTCAAAGTGGAAAGCAAAAGAGATGTAAGAGGGGCCTGGGGATGTGACTAATGAACAGAGAAAATGTTATTTTAGTGCCAGGAATGTCTGTCTTGTTTATTCTGGACCCTATTTGGAAATTGGCATCTTCTGAAATTTGTGCAAAATTGGCAAAATTGCCAATTCCTGATCACTTTATTGGATAGATGAAATCGGTAAATGGGTGGTTTCTTGTACTCATTCGATAGAAAAAATGGAGTTCTAGTGAAATAGATACGATTTTTGTCGATTAATACACTGGAATTGGCTGAAAATAGGGCTCAAAGTGGGCGAAATCTGCGATGTGTAAACATCGTTGAGACCGCTAATTTCACGAGAGCATAATTCCTTACGTTTTCCATCAAATTTCATACTTTTGGTGTCATTAAGATTGGGAAAAGATTCTCTATCATTTCAAAAGAAATTTTCCAAAAAATTTCAACCGAGAACGAGTTTAGGAGAGGGCCTCTCGACCCTGAAAGGGTTAATCTTGATTAGTTTCCTTTTTTTGATGATTTGTGAACCAGGGTCTGGGTTCGATTCCCAGTGAGGGTAGAAACATTGGGCATGTTTCTTTACACCGGTTGTCTATGTCCCCCATCAGTAAAATGGGCACCTGGGTGTTAGTGGACTGGTGTGGGTCGCATCCTGGACAAAACTGACCTAATTTGCCTGAAATGCTCTGCATAACAAGCAGCTTTCTATATAATAGTATGTCAGCTATGGTCTGTATACCTTGTATATGTACTTGTAGAAATAAAGATATTATATTATTATCTGTACTAGGTAGCAGGTTGGTAGACAACAACCGCCCAGGGAGGTACTACCGTCCTGCCAAGTGAGTGTAAAACGGAAGCCTGTAATTGTTTTACATGATGGTAAGATTGATGGTGTCTTTTTTCTGTCTCATAAACATGCAAGATTTCAGGTACATCTTGCTACTTCTACTTACACTTAGGTCACACTGCACATACATGTACAAGTATATAGTACAGTGGTCCCTCGCTTTTCGTAGTTCTCGGCAATCGTAAGTTTCGCCAATCATAGGGGTATTTTCGTATAAACATGGACTCGCTTTTCATAGGTTGACTCGCGAATAGTAGTTCGTCCAGGACGCTTACGCACGGTGTGAGCCGGGGAGGCCTCCCTACCCAGCCAGTCTGGCATTGTTTACCAGTGAGTGAAGGTCCCCTCAAGTGCTCCTACGAAATATTTCATAATATTCCACTCATTTTAGTGCTTGCAAGTACTAAATAAGCTACCATGGCTCCAAAGAAAGCTCCTAGTGCCAAGCCTGTGGTAAAGAAGGTGAGAAATATGTACAGTGACAAAGTCTTGTACCATTTTAGGGAAGTGTTAAAGAGTTGCCAGAAACAGAGCTCTCTCCACAGTTACTTTGCGAGACAGGACTAGAGTGACTCTCAAGGTGGTCCTAGTGGCATTATGAAACAGAGAAGAGAAGCAACCCCAGAGAAGCAATTGGTACCTGAGGTGTTGCTGGAAGGGGATTCCCCATCCAAACTGTAAACAATCCAATCTCTCTCCTCCAGTCTCCCATACACTAAGAAGAATCTCCAATAAAGGTAAGTGTTATGCTGTTAATGTTTCATTCATCATTTCCCATTGCATTGTTTATGTACTACATGTATATTTCATGTAAAAAAATTTTTTGTTTTAATACTTCTGAGTGTCAGAAACGGATTAATTGTATTTGCATTATTTCTTATGGGGAAAATTGATTCGCAAATCGTAAATTTCATTTATAGTAGCTCCTCCAGGAACGGATTAATTACGAAAAACGAGGGACCACTGTATATACATACCCCTCTGGGTTTTCTTCTATTTTCTTTCTAGTTCTTGTTCATGTTTATTTCCTCTTATCTCCATGGGGAAGTGGAATAGAATTCTTCCTCCGTAAGCCATGCATGTCGTAAGAGGTGACTAAAATGCCGGGAGCAAGGGGCTAGTAACCCCTTCTCCTGTATATATTACTAAATTTGAAAGGAGAAACTTAAGTTTTTCCTTTTGGGCCACCCCACCTCGGTGGGATACGGCTGGTATGTTGATAAATAGATTATTATCTGTAAATGTTGTCTCTGAAGAAGGATATAACAGATCAGAAGTTTTTTTCTGAAGAAAACAAATGGGATTCATATTATATGGATTGTTGGTTAATTAATATGTGATCTGTTAACATTTCATGTTAACATGGTTGCAAAATATTTTTGATGACCACACTGTGATAATCAGTTACATGGCAGAGTACTTCATGTAGGGGAAAATGTGGTACATGCTGGGTTCTTTCCCCATTGTTACACAGTGAGCCTACAGGAGAGTCTACCATCTTAGTGTTGGCATATGCAATGTACACAACCTCCTGCACCTCAGTGCTCCGTTTATACTCGTCTAAAACTATAATCGGCCTGTGTTAGTGAGTCGAATTTTTATGTTTACATCATCCTTTTTCATCTCTGGATAGTAACCATGGCACCCCAGAAGAATATGAGTGATCTGTGTATGACAGGAATTATTTATTGACTGATTTAAACATAACTTTATTCCCGAAGTCGTGTTTTACCTGGACAGCAAGAGTCTTGCTTTCAAAGTTCTTGTCACTCTTGATAATTCCTGTTTTCATCCAGAAGTTTTGGTGGATGTGCATCCACATCCAATGGATCATGGAATTATTAGGACATTTAAGTGTAACTACACACAAAAAGTTATATGGAACCTTGCTGCATCAATGGACACTGGCTCTGAGCTTGGGATGCCAGACACTTAGCATAAATTTAACCTTGCAGATGGCATCAGCTCTGCCAAAAGTGTATGGAATGAAGTGCCCCAATCAACATTAAGTGAATGCTGGGGAAAGTTATATCCTGGTATGGTGAATACTTTCACAGACTATCCCTCAGTTGAAAGCCAGGTCCAGGAAATTTTGGTAGAGCTCAATGCCCAGATTCAAGGGAGGCATATAACAAATTGAGTTGCAGTTAACAGTGCAACAGTTATGTCAGCATTTCCATATAATTGATAAAGTTACTTATTTTTCACTGAATAGGACCCTAGCAAATCTAGAAGCACTGCTCTGAAATGGGTTCTGGAGCTGCTGCTAATGCCTTATTGTCAGCTATATAAAGTACTGCAGGGTAAAATAGACCATAGATGCATTACACAATTTCTCAGTACTCCAGCACAAACTTCATCCACCTCAGCCTGAAACGCTCAGGCATGTTAGTGGCTTTCTTTGTACTTAACATTTTATAAAATGTAAATCACACATTGTAACCTTTGCAAAGAAATAAAAAATTTGTGACCCCATGGCCTGGCTGGCAAAGCTCTCGCTTCACACACGGAGGGCCCGGGTTCGATTCCCAGCGGGGTAGAAACATTTAGATACGTTTCCTTACACCCGTTGTCCTGTTCACCTAGCGGCAAATAATTACCTGGGTGGTAGTAGACTGGTGTGGGTCGCATCCTGGGGGACAAGATTGAGGACCCCAATGAAAACAAGTTAGACAGTCCATGATGATGCACTGACTTTCTTGGGTTATCCTGGGTGGCTAATCCTCCGGGGTTAAAAATCCAAACGAAATCTTAACTTCCAAGTCAGCCCAGTAGGGATACATTATATCTCTCCACTCATTTTAAAATCATTGACATACACCAGTCTACAACTGCCTACAGTTACAGTATTATAATTTTTTTTACAATTTTAAGACCTAAAAAAAATATGGTTGGCTTTTTTGGGGGTTTAAGGAACATAGCCCTAGTTTTCCCCTATGTACTTCAGTTCATTTGACAATTTTTTTTAAGTACACCATTTTCAAGAACCTAACTACCATGTTAACCGACAGTGAACTGTACATCATTTTGTATGAAGTCTTAATTTTGTTCTGTACTCTAGGTTTTGAATAATTCACTGCCAACTAGCACATGCACATCCTGCTCTACTCTTTCAGGAAGCAACCACTATGGCATTGCTGGCTGGTATGCCATGAAAGCTACAAAAGAAGGACTTATGGTAAGATCTAAGATTAAGATTCTTCATTTCTAATCAATGCATTACAAAATATGCATACAATAATCAGAAAGTTCATAGGATGCACAGCATTTTATTGTTTAGTATTATTTATTTCGCTGACATTGTTTGAGCATTTCTTTACATCATATCATTTTGAAATATTTTTTGTAGAGATGGGATGATGCTTGTTTTTTTGATGATACTGATATTGATACTCGTTTTTAGGCTGGTGCCAGTATAAAAAATAACCAGTGCCCACCAATACTGTTACCAATACCATCAAAATTGGCTGATACCCACCAATACCGATACTCAGTTTTAGGCTGATACAGATACCATCAAAATTGGTTGATACTCACAAATACCATTACCAATGCTTTGGCATACCCCTAATTTTTGGTATATGTACTCCTTCACTAACTATGGGGTTATGTTCTGATGAACCTGTCATAAGTTGAATATGACTATGATATGATACATAAATAATTAACTAGTCACTGAATAAGAAAATAAACAAGTAATTTTTATAACTAAATACCAGTAATGAAAAGTAAATAAATGAATACATGTCTATCCTATCAATAAATGTATAGTACTGTACAGTACCAAAACAGTTTTTTACAGTATATGTACATTGATTTCATTATCCAAGGATGATACAGGTACAATACATGTAGTGTTATGTTGTACAGGTACTCACCATTAATGTGGTCAGCTGAAAGCACACCAGATCACAGTTCAGTGTTTGACGACTACTGAATGTGCCTCGCTATCGCACCATCGTAAAGTTGAAAAATCATAAGTCGGGCCATCATAAAGCGAGGAACATCAGAGACTGGCTTAATCTGGTTCAAGCAGCTTGTGTTCATACTGTTACAATGGCATTTTTTGTTTACTAACCATGCACTAATAGTTTTTAAATTAAACAAAATGACAACTTTCATACAAATTCTTCAAAAATTGAACTTCAATAATATCATGACAGTAAAATTAATTATGTAAAGAGTATTGGAGATTAGATCTAGTGACCTTCCTGATGCATGGTACTATTAATACCTGTAGACTTCAGGCACTTACGGTCTTGTGCTAACAATGGTGCTTTGTATCTAAATAGTCACCCAGTCTAATCCCCAGTACTCCTTACCCATAAATTTTATAAAGTGCATATTATATAGTAAATTATATAATTGTTATGTGTAGCAGAAAATTATGTGTACTGCAGTGATATGATTTTGTGATGAAACTGTAATATGAAACATTTATCATGTTAAATATTTATTTTCAGGGCATGAGTTTTACCAACACCTCGCCTCTTGTTGCTCCAACTCGCGCCAAGAAGGTAGATACGCTATTAAATTAAAATCGCATATTATTCGTGAACAAAAGTAGTTTTGTACAGCACAGTAGAAGAGTTACACTTCTGAAAAACTATTGTACTTATACATGTATTACAAACAGTTCTTTAAATAGTAAAGAATATACAGTACTAAGTAGAAAAAAGTTACATTCCAGAATTTTGAAAATTACCTATTCCCCTCAAAATTTTGTAAGTTGTAATGCAAAAATTTAACTTGCCTCACTTTCTGGTATCCACGTGTTCCTTCACATGAATACTCGAGTGAAAGTTGTCTTCTGTACTAAATTTGTGAATACTTGCACTCTTCCTCCACATTTCCCAATCTAGTTTTTCATGCAGTTTTAATTTAAAATTACACTTTTATTTGTAATTACAGGCAGCTCTGGGAACAAATCCAATCTCTCTGTCAGCACCTGCAAAGAATGGGGATAGTTTTGTGTTGGACATGGCAACTTGTGTTGTAGCCGTGGGTAAGGTATGTACTGTTCTTCAACCTCCAGAACTTTTGTATACAGTACAGTACATGCTTTGTAGCATGATATAGCTTATATACTGTGGATTAATGTATTTTGTCGGACATCAGTATGTAGTATGAATAATAAGCACAGAATACAGGATGAAGAGATGTAATTATAAAAAAATTCTCTTAATGAAAATTCCTTTGAAGACAGGTCTTAGTGAAATGCATCACAGTGTCAAGCAGTGATGACCTGGATTTTAATGTAACTCATAAGGTTAATATTTTTTCTGCCTATGAAGATAGAGGTAGAGCGTCGAAAGGAGAATCCTATTCCTGAAGGTTGGGCCTTGGACAAGAATGGTCAACCCACTACAAATGCTACAGAGGGAATGGAGGGTGCTCTTATGCCCCTTGGTGGGACAGAGCTTTATTCTGGGTATAAAGGTTATGGTCTTGGCATGTTAGTGGAAGTCTTCTGTGGTATTATGTCAGGCAAGTGTTAATTTTTTACCTGCTCATGACAGTAATCTAATCACTTATTAAAAGGTTTACGGTATAGTAATATGTGAGTACCATAGATCATACAATACCCGACACCATTGAGGGAAGGTTCCAGTGGATTTTAAAAATGCAGGAAAATCATGTAATATTTTTTTGGCTGTTAAGGTGTTCTGTATGGAAAGGGCAGCTGGAAAATATTAAATACTGAATAAGTGACTGCAGGATAACTGATGCTCTAATGTATTTGAAAACAGTTATGCATAATATAGGCTTTTTCCAAAAACTATATTATGCATATTTATAAATACAGTATTAAAATTTATGTGGTAGTTACATTGTTAATACAGTATTGATAGGTAACTGGTAATTTTATATAAAATGACTACTAAGCTATATGTACATACATACTGGTGTATAAGTACAGTTTATGTTATAGAATATTAAAGAAAATTTTATTTTTATCAAGTGCTTGTGTTAAAGGAAACAAGTGTGAATACTTAAATGAGGTAAAGGAACTTTGTTAGAAAACAGTTAGTGCTAATTCATTATTTTATAATATAGGATACAGCATTGTAACAAAAAAAAAATAAGTTTTTGTTTCTGTGCTTGGCTATCCAGGTGGACAGTATGGACCACATATACGAAGGTGGATGCAAACTGATCGAGAAGCAGACTTAGGGCAATGCTTTGTGGCTATTGATCCTTCCTTCTTTGCACCAGGCTTTGAAGACCGCATGAGTGACATGATGGATTATTGTCGTGGAATGGAACCAGTAAGTAATGAGCAAAAATCTGAAGAATAAGATTATTTAGTGGTTGTGTCAATTAGGACAAAAGATGTGTGATGCCTGAGAGGATTTTATGATTTCTATAAAAATCTCATAGGTTATTTCAATTGGTTAATGAATAATATCATCATGCTGCACAAGTCAGAGCTGGAACCCAGCCACACAAAACAAAAAATGGGCATTAAAAATTTTATACATAATGATGCATAGTTGACAAATTTCTGTTCAAATTTGCAGATGTGGAAGGTATATGGTAAACTGAACACATGGGGTATATACAGTATGTGTCATAAATATACACACACACACATAAACAGATCACACAAAACAAGACTGCTCACCATAACCTACAGTTTTAAAAGTATAATACTGAAATATGTAAATGTTCTTCACCTAAGCTAGTATTTCATAGGATTTCCCTTCCTTTTGATGCACTCCGCAAGTCACCTAGACATTGATAAGGCTAACATATGAAAGATAGAAGAGTCAATACCTTCCCACACCTGCTTAATGGCACTGTATGCATGCACTTCACCTGCATGCGGTATTCCCATCAAAATACAATGCAACATGTATTGACATAGTCAATAAATGTTGAGAAGTTGCATACTCAAAAATTCCTTTTAATAAAAATGCTCTTCAGTCACCCTACCTCGGTGGGAGACTGTCAGTGTTAAAAAAAAAAAAAAAAAGTTCCAATGGTTTTGGATTACCAACTGGTGTATTTAAGAATGCTATGTGGGAAATATGTTAAGAAGAATTTTTCTGAATGGATCATACATTTTTTCTAAAGCAAAAATAACCTGCGCACAGAAGAAACTTATGACGACATTTCAGTCCAACTTTGTCCATTAACTAGCTACACACTAATGTTGGTGTTTTATTTATTATGACACTGGCCGATTCCCACCAGGGCAGGGTGGCCCGAAAAAGAAAAACTTTCACCATCATTCACTCCATCACTGTCTTGCCAGAAGAGACTCCTAAGTGCACCACTCACCCTTTTCCCCTCATCAATTCTATGATTCACCTCATCTTTCATAGACCCATCCGCTGACACGTCCACTCCCAAATATCTGAATACATTCACCTCCTCCATACTCTCTTCCTCCAATCTGATATCCAATCTTTCATCACCTAATCTTTTTGTTATCCTCATAACCTTACTCTTTCCTGTATTCACTTTTAATTTTCTTCTTTTGCATACCCTACCAAATTCATCCACCAATCTCTGCAACTTCTCTTCAGAATCTCCCAAGAGCACAGCGTCATCAGCAAAGAGCAACTGTGAGAACTCCCACCTTATGTGTGATTCTTTATCTTTTAACTCCATGCCTCTTGCCAAGACCCTCGCATTTACTTCTCTTACAACCCCATCTATATTATTATTATTATAATCAAAAAGAAGCACTAAGCCACAAGGACTATACAGCACCCCATCTATAAATATATTAAACAACCAGGGTGACATCACACATCCTTGTCTAAGGCCTACTTTTACTGGGAAATAATTTCCCTCTTTCCTACATACTCTAACTTGAGCCTCACTATCCTCGTAAAAACTCTTCACTGCTTTCAGTAACCAACCTCCTACACCATACACCTGCAACATCTGCCACATTGCCCCCCAATCCACCCTGTCATACGCCTTTTCCAAATCCATAAATGCCACAAAGACCTCTTTAGCCTTATTTAAATACTGTTCACTTATGTGTTTCACTGTAAACACCTGGTCCACACCCCCCCCCTACCTTTCCTAAAGCCTCCTTGTTCATCTGCTATCCTATTCTCCATCTTACTCTTAATTCTTTCAATAATAACTCTACCATACACTTTACCAGGTATACTCAACAAACTTATCCCTCTATAATTTTTGCACTCTCTTTTGTCCCCTTTGCCTTTATACAAAGGAACTATGCATGCTCTCTGCCAATCCCTAGGTACCTTACCTTCTTCCATACATTTATTAAATAATTACACCAACCACTCGAAAACAATATCCCCACCTGCTTTTAACATTTCTATCTTTATCCCATCAATCCCGGCTGCCTTACCCCCTTTCATTTTACCTACTGCCTCATGAACTTCCCCCACACTCACAACTGGCTCTTCCTCACTCCTACAAGATGTTATTCCTCCTTGCCCTATACACGAAATCACAGCTTCCCTATCTTCATCAACATTTAACAATTCCTCGAAATATTCCCTCCATCTTCCCAATACCTCACCATTTAATAACTCCATTTAATAACCTCTCCATTTAATAACTCTCCTCTTCTATTTTTAACTGACAAATCCATTTGTTCTCTAGACTTCCTTAACTTGTTAATCTCACTCCAAAACTTTTTCTTATTTTCAACAAAATTTGTTGATAACATCCCACCCACTCTCTCATTTGCTCTCTTTTTACATTGCTTCACCACTCTCTTAACCTCTCTCTTTTTCTCCATATACTCTTCCCTCCTTGCATCACTTCTACTTTGTAAAAACTTCTCATATGCTAACTTTTTCTCCCTTACTACTCTCTTTATATCATCATTCCACCAATCGCTCCTCTTCCCTCCCGCACCCACCTTCCTGTAACCACAAACTTCTGCTGAACACTCCAACACTACATTTTTAAACCTACCCCATACCTCTTCGACCCCATTGCCTATGCTCTCATTAGCCCATCTATCCTCCAATAGCTGTTTATATCTTACCCTAACTGCCTCCTCTTTTAGTTTATAAACCTTCACCTCTCTCTTCCCTGATGCTTCTATTCTCCTTGTATCCCATCTACCTTTTACTCTCAGTGTAGCTACAACTAGAAAGTGATCTGATATATCTGTGGCCCCTCTATAAACATGTACATCCTGAAGTCTACTCAACAGTCTTTTATCTACCAATACATAATCCAACAAACTACTTCATTTCGCCCTACATCATATCTTGTATACTTATTTATCCTCTTTTTCTTAAAATATGTATTACCTATAACTAAACCCCTTTCTATACAAAGTTTAATCAAAGGGCTCCCATTTTCATTTACACCTGGCACCCCAAACTTACCTACCACACCCTCTCTAAAAGTTTCTCCTACTTTAGCATTCAGGTCCCCTACCACAGTTACTCTCTCACTTGGTTCAAAGGCTCCTATACATTCACTTAACATCTCCCAAAATCTCTCTCTCTCCTCTACATTCCTCTCTTCTCCAGGTGCATACACGCTTATTATGGCCCACTTTTTGCATCCAACCTTTACTTTAATCCACATAATTCTTGAATTTACACATTCATATTCTCTTTTCTCCTTCCGTAACTGATCCTTCAACATTACTGCTACCCCTTTCTTTGCTCTAACTCTCTCAGATACTCCAGATTTAATGGTCTAAGTCAGACTGAAACATTGACCTATGTGCTGAGTATTTGTGTATTTTTCTAATGGAAAGTACCATAGTTTCTCATCCATTATATAATCATAATTTTATAAGGATTATTATTAGTATTACTACATTCATGGAAAGTACTGTACTACTACACCCAATATTATCATAAATCTGTTGAATTCTCTAATGTAAAAAACACCTGGATTCTCTTGGTTGGCTAAATGTCAGCCACACTTCTTATTTCAGGCTGATCCAGATAAACCAGTGTTGGCTCCTGGGGATCCTGAACGTTTCCATGTAGAGAAGGTGAAGCTGGAGGGTGGCATCACCTATCATATAAACCAGATCACAGACTCGGTAAGTTAAAAACATCATGGCTCAGAAATCCACAACCCATCTTTATCACAGATCCCAGTGATGAAGTGCTGACAATGGTGACTCAGACATACATTGCAGGAAAAACTTTCACTGGCATAACCTTTTGCCATGTAGTTTTAACAAGAGTTTATCATGACCAGATAATAACAAGAGTTTATCATGACCAGATAATAACAAGAGTTTATCATGACCAGATAAAGCTGTACACATAGCAAAATACTGTTCTCATGATAATTTTAAAAAATTGTCCATTTATTTTCTGCTTATTCTCCATTTGTATCCTCTTTTATTTTATTTTTTCCTCCTGTCCTTTCTTATAATACTGTATTACTCCCCAACTGAGTTACATAATATACCACAGTTTATCTTTTTTCAGTGGAAGCTGGCACAAGTCCTGGGTGTACAACCCATGAAATAGGTGATCTAGAAAATGTTACTTCTCTCCATCAGTCAAATATTGATATGCTCATTCAAGGAACATGATATATGATGGAGACATGACATATGATTTTCCTCAGGTTAATTGTCCTGTAGTGGTAAATCACCATGTTTGCACACTATTTTTATAACAATGAGTTTGAGTTTAGGTGTAGGGAATGAACCGAGTGAGTTTATCACTTCAACCATGAATATACTGTAGTAAGGGAATGGCCCCAACTGATGTAGCAAATTGATGTTAGTTAAGAAATAGACAGAGCCTGCACTAGAGGTAGGACTATCAGAGCACAAGGAGGTAGAGGGTGGCAAAAGCCAAAAAATACACATAGTAAGCCTTTTATTTAACAATGTTCTACCTGAAGGAGCTTTGTTAATACATGACAGAGCCCCACAGTGATCAAAAACAGTCGTTTAATAAAAGACTTACTTCGTTTGTATCTTTGATTCCTTAGTTCACCTGAGGACAATGAAGTGAAATGGCCTACTATGAAGAGGCCCAGTGTATGCACAGTAGTTTGACAAGCACAATATGAACCAATCACATAATTTATACATGCAGCTTAAGTGTAACTTACAGTACTTCATTCCAGATACTATACTATCATGTAATTTTTTGTTTATCTTCAAATGGGATGTTAGTAAGCTCACAAAGCATAATATTTTAATCAGAATTTCAGCATAATAAGGTCAGTGTATCACTGTGCAAATCATTGTAGTATTGTTGCAAATCACTGTGCTAATTAATGTAATAGTTGTAATAATGACAATCAGTGTAGTATAGTGTATATAGAATATATATATGTAATATAATAATGTTATGTACTTCAAAATATGTTAGGGGTGACAACAATGTGATACCTAAGCCACTTTGTTTATTTTTTTCCATGTGAACCTGATGGTACAGTAAAAAAAAATTACATACCACTAAACTTCATGTAAATTTTGTGTCGTATATCAATACATAAAATAATATTCTCAAAAAATATATTTTGTGACAATTTGGCTTGTTTATTTGACTTGGCTTATTAGGCATGACATACACACACTAGTTTATTATCGTTATTTTATGAAGTCAGTCATCAACTGTCACCACAACCTTTCTTTTATCATCTTGGCTATTGTTCCTTTCACTCTTAAAACCCTGATTAGCTAGGGTATGGCTAATATTAACTTTTTTTTGACAGTCTTGGAATTTCCCCTCAACTTTCTTTTACTTTCATACATATTGTTGCCTTTTCCTTATATTAGATGTGAGTGGCTCTAAAAAGTAAATTTATATAATTTCAGTATCAAAATATCATGAAGTGAGACTATATATCTCAAATCTTTTTGACTTCACTCAACATTTTTGTAGAATCCTCATTTTTTTGTACTTTACCCAGTAAATAAAATTTATTTTGCACATGAAATAAATATTACAAGTTAATAAAAAACATTATTTATAAACTCTTTATAATAAATAAGGATTTCACAAACTATGTACAAATTATTCCAGCTGCTGAAATTACTAGGACAAATATAACTGAAATTCTTTCTTTTTATAGTCAAGAGAATTAATATAACTTTAAAGTTAAATTGTTTCTCAGCTACTATGAAAAAAATCACACACTACAAAGCCACTGTTATTAATGCACTTGAAATTTCATGTTATTTAAAAATGATCATGGTAACATCATGTCTCTTAAAATAAATATTCTGGTAATAAATTTAAGTAATCTGATAGTAAAGATTCTATTAAATGATAGCCTTTGATCTGATGTATTCTACCACCAAAATTAAATAGAAACCCTCTCAAATGTTTGAGTAACCCACTAGACACAAATGTTGTGTGTTGTTTGATCACATTTTTTCCCATAATGGCAATATTCTGTTCATATGGAACATGTAATTTTCTACCATTTGTCCATTTACATAAAAGATATTAATGGGAGGCAAATTGCTACTATTTGTCCAGATGTGCATAGCTTGAATATTCAGGTGTAGGTAAGTAACTGATGGGTGACCACATCCTTGTGTTCTTTCTTTAGAGGGAACTCAACAAGTCAAAAGCTGTAGGCAAATGCTTCAGGAAACTGATAAGTTGATAAATTAGACACATATGCAACACTTGGGTATCTTTATTGAGAAAACATATATGTTGTAATCTTTTCAAGATTGATGGACTGATTACATAGACTCCAGGGTGAGGGACTGATTATCTCAAACTCCTTCTGATCTTCACCAGTCGTCTTTGTAAAGGACTGATGAAGCCACTGTGTGGCAAAATGTTTCTTCAATAAAGATACCCAAGTGTTGCATATGGGTCTAATTTATCAAGTCATAAGCTTCCTGTTCCTGATGACATACCTAAATTATAAACCAACTAAATTATAGACCAGTATTTATATGGACATCTTTAGAAATAGCAGTTATCTGTGTTATAAAATGTTAACCCATGAAAAAGTTGAATTTACACTGGTAGAATTACCAACAGTGTTAAGTAAAACAGCACATGCACAACTAATGAGAAGTTTTATTGCAACAATAATATGTCTCATTAGTTGGAGATGCATCTTATTACCTAACTCATGAAAAAACCTTTTGGACCTGATGCAGGAATGGCCACAAGACAGCTACATTCTCAGTACCCTCTCCCTTAAGTGGGTGATTCAATGCTGGTTAAACAATCTTGATCCAAGGAACTGGAACTACCCTCCCCTTCCTAGGATCAAGCCTGATTACCTCTCAATACCCAGGCGCTGTATGACCCTACAGGTTAGGCGCTTCTTATTGAAATTGTATACTGGTAATAAAAATCATCAGCACCATTTAAGACATAGACGAGAAGCTAAACATTAAAAAAATTGTAATACATAAACATTGATAAAACTGAATATCCAAGATCTGTCAGTGTGCAATCATTATGGATGAATAACACATGTAAGATCCCATGCTCATAGAACCTCTAGCACATTATTATTATATTCAAGGAGAGTTGCTAAACATATAAGGGTAATACAACTCCTGTGGAATGGGAGGTAAATAGGTTTAACGCATGGGGAGGGGAGCTCCAGTTCCTTGAATCAAGAGCCCTTCACCAGCATCGAGGCACCCCAGCAATCCCATGAAGGTAAAGGTATTGGGACATATTGAGGAAAAGGAAGAGCATCAAGCCACTAACCTACATCCAAAAGTAAAACCATTATATGCAGTGACTTTTGCTAGTGGCATTTAGTGTATGTTAGATCAAGGCTTGAGTGTGCCTTGATGCTAAAGGTTTCTTGATCCAAGGCACTGGAGTTACCCTTCCCTTCCTTGGATCAAACTTGATTGCCTCTTATTCCCCAGGTGCTACATGGCCTTATGAACTGAGTTCTTACCCATGCTTATAATAATATGTACAAGGAAAGCTTTTCTTGCAGTAGTGAATGCATCTCCTGAAAAATATTTTTGATAAGCACTTCTTCCTGGAACAACATGCATGCTGCAATGAACAGCCAAAAAACACAATGAAAATCTTGTTTTCCTTGACTGGATGTATATGCAAGAAAAAGGCACTGTAGATTATAATAATGGACTATGTAGTAGACGAAAGGTTTATGGGCAGTCTTTTGAACGTAAATATACTAAAGGAGTAACTGATATGTCTGATCATTGTAGGAGAGCATCAAAAGGTAGATGTGAAGGTGATGGGAGGATGCTAAAAAGGGGTGGTGTAGATTTAAGAAAGTAGTAGTAGTGTATGAGGCATAGCAGAGATTTGATTATAAGTGAAAGAAGAAAAGTGATAGGGCAACTTACATATGTGGAACTCTGGCAAAAGTGAATAATTAGCAAATGTTTGGTTCCTGGAATGTAAAAATGTAAGTTAGATGCACTATATAGAAAAAATGGAGAAGTTAAGAGTGCAAAAGAAGAGCAAATGAAAAAATAGGTGAGGCCTTGTCAACAATGGAATAAATGGACCCATCTGTCAAAAGTGAAAGTGGTGATACAATGAAATGGAGGTAGATTATTATTATAATCAAATAAAGCACTAAATTGACAAGAAATGGAGGCAGAAATTTTATGCTGGGTGGGAGGAATGAGATATGGTATCTGAATAAGAGAAAAGCTTGAAACATTTAAGAAAAGTGCAAGAGCAGCAGTAAAATAATTGAAAGTGGGAATGGCTGGTACATATGCTAACTGTGTATATGTAAAAAGAGTGAGAGCCAAATAGTATGTGATGAGAGTGGGAAAGACTGGTAAATTGTTCATTGTGTACATAAAAGTAAAAAAAAAAATGCCAGTTAATTTACAGTGCTAGTCATGGCATTATGCCATTCCTCCCCCACACGCGTACCAAAACACAAACACCTACCATGAAAGTTTGGTGCTGCATTCTTTACACTAAATCATGTCCCTCAGCTGCATAAGAAGATTCTCACACAAATTCTTGAGGGTTTGGGGAGGTATATTATTCCACGCTTCATGTAGAGCAGCCTCCAGCTGCAGGATGGAACTGATATCCTTGCCCAGTAAACTAGGGGCATGCCTGGTCAGTCATTAAAGAGCCTTACTTCACAGTCCTTAAACCATTGAACTACAGATCTGGCGGTATGACACTGTGCACCGTCCTACATAAAAACCATAGCCCCACACTTGTCAAATGCCTGAGGTAAATTGTCACACAATAACTCCTGGTAATTATACTGGTTCATATACTGGTTTTTGGGAAGCACAATGAGTTCACCAACACTCTGAGCACTGAAATACCCCCAAACCATGAGCGAGTCTGGGTGTTTGGTGGTATCACAGGTGTAGCATGGGTCTAGCGGGTCACTGCCTCTGGGCCGGTACACACATCCCCCACGGTTACAGGTAACAGTGAAGGTTGTTTCATCACTCCAAAGTACAGTACTTCAGTCCACTGTTGAGGATTCCAGTAAAGATGTTTCTTTGCATAATCCAGCCTACATTTCTTCTGTGGCTTGGGAGGATCAGTTTCTTAACCTGGCAGTGACTACTGCGGCCCAGTTCTGATACGCATCTGTTAACAGTACTTACAGACACCTCTGAAAGATGTGGGTTCTTTTCTTTCAAGCCTCTAGCCGTTATCTTAGGTGTACTCTCTAACTGCTTCTTTAACACAGTTAAGGTACAAACAGATCGTCTTCTTCGAGGGGCCAGGCCAAGGTTTGGCAGATGGTAACTTGACACCGCCACTAGCCTTGAAACGCTGCACCCAGTTCCTCACTGAATGCACACACACACCAACATTCTCCACTATTCTTTCGTCTGTTGCCCAGCTTCGTGAAGCCCTATGATTTGAGCTATAGTTTCAGGTGTCAAAGACTTTCTTTTACACATAATCAAACATGTATAGCCCCAAAACCAAAGGGAACACTGGACAAAAGATGGGGTGGCTGAGAGACAAAAGTGCAACACTTCCTCTCACCACGGCAGCTACGTGAGCACTGAGGAGCCACTGTGGAGTGTGGCGGCAGGCCATGATGTCATGCTAACGGCTGCTACCTGGCCCCCCCTCTCAGTTTTCACCCAGGAAAATACTAGCGATATTCCTGAAATAATAGATTACGTAGAACAGGATAATAAACTATGTACGATAGTGGTAACTAGTGACATGGTCCTCAGACAAATAGAGAAACTAAAACCTAACAAATCCCCAGGTCCTGATGAACTGTTTGCAAGGGTATTAAAGGAATGTAAAGAGGAACTTAGCATACCTTTGGCTAATCTTTTTAACATATCACTACAAACTGGCATAGTGCCTGATAAGTGGAAAATGGCAAATGTAATACCTATTTACAAGGCAGGTGACAGGTCCTTGGCTTCGAACTATAGACCAATAAGCCTTACCTCCATAGTGGGAAAATTTATGGAATCAATAATTGCCGAAGCAATTCGTAGCCATCTTGACAGGCACAGATTGACTAACCTTTTGACTGTCGCGGCCGTATATATACGTCTTACGAGGTACCGTGTTTGAAGTATATATACTCATAAATTCTAGCGGCTTCAAATCAAGCAGGAGAAAGCTGGTAGGCCCACATGTGAGAGAATGGGTCTGTGTGGTCAGTGTGCATCATATAAAAAAAATCCTGGAGCACGCAGTGCATGAGAAAAAAAAACTCTGACCATTTTTTTTATTAAAATGCCGACTTTGTGGTCTATTTTTGTATAGTATTTATGGTTGTATTCTCGTTTTCTTGGTCTCATTTGATAGAATGGAAAACATATTATAGAAACAGAGGTGATTTTGATTGATTTTACTATAAAAAGAACCTAGAAATGGAGCTCAAAGTAGGGGAAATGTTTGATTTTTGCTAATGTTCAAAAGTAAACAAATGATGCCATTGTCCAATAAATGTCCAATTAGCCAATCTAATATGCAGTCATGAATGGGTTGATGTTATTTATACAATTATTACAGTATTGCAGTAGTCTGTATAATAGTAAGTCTTCTATTTTTTGTTTGAATAAAAATTCAAAATAGACTGGAAGAGTAATATCAGAGGGGCCTGGAGACATGACTGATGAGCAAAGAAAATGTTATTTTAGAGCCAGGAATGTCTGCATTGTTCATTCTGGACCTTATTTTGAAATTGTCATATTTTTTAGTTTTCGTGAAATTGGCCAAATTGCAAATTTCTGACCACATTATTAGGTAGTTGAAATCGGTAAATGGGCAGTTTCTTGTACTCAGTCGATAGAAAAAATGGAGTTCTAAAGAAATAGCTATGAGTTTGGGCGACTGGAACAATGGAATTAGCCGAAAATAGCGCTCAAAGTGGGCGAAATAGCCGATTTGCAAACAGCGCCGAGGTCGCTAACTTCACGAGAGCATAATTCCGTCAGTTTTCCATCAAATTTCGTTTTTTTGGTGTCATTACAATCGGGAAAAGATTCTCTATCATTTCATAAGAAAAAATAATTTTTTTTTTAAATTCTGCGACACCAGGAGACACCTCAGGATTGGGGGTTGCGACAGTCAAAGGGTTAATGATTTTCAACACGGTTTTACAAAGGGGCGTTCCTGTCTTACGAATTTACTAACTTTTTTCACTAAGGTGTTTGAGGAGGCAGATCATGGTAATGAATATGATATTGTGTATATAGACTTCAGTAAGGTTTTCAATAGAGTTCCACACCAGAGGCTATTGAGGAAACTTAGGGCACACGGAATAGGAGGAGAAATTTTTTCCTGGGTAGAGGCATGGCTGACAAATAGACAGCAGAGAGTTTGCATAAATGGGGAGAAATCAGAATGGGGGCACGTCACAAGCGGTGTTCCTCAGGGGTCAGTGTTGGGCCCATTGTTGTTCACAACTTACATAAACGACATAGATGAGGGAATAAATAGCGACACAAGCAAATTTGCTGATGACACCAAAATAGGCCGTCCAATTCATTCTAATAAGGACATTAGAGCACTCCAGGATGATTTAAATAGACTGACGCAATGGTCGGAGAAGTGGCAGATGCAGTTTAATATTGGCAAATGCAAAGTTCTAAATGTTGGACAGTTAAATAACCATGCCACACATAAACTAAATAATGTAGATCTTAATACTACCGATTGCGAAAAGGATTTAGGAGTTCTGGTTAGCAGTAATCTAAAACCAAGACAAGAGTGCATTAGTGTTCGCAATAAAGCTAACAGAATTCTTGGCTTCATATCTAGAAGTATAAATAATAGAAGTCCTC